CTTGGCGACGGTAGGTATATCCTAATCTGTATAAAACGAGAATATTTATTCTAACCTCTTCTTATATAAAGTAAATTTATGCTTTTTTCTATTTATCAGTTGTTTTGTTGTGGGACTGTATATTTGCCAATGCATTCGATGTTTCGTTACTTATTTCTTGCCTCCGGGCTTAAATATTCTACAAAATATTATGTATTTTATTGAATGACAGTACTCATACCAAGGGACAACATGAATACTTGTTATATGCATTTTAGTGGGTGTGTTTTTAGTTAGAGATCCTGAATACTTAGATCAACTATGCCCATAACAATATAAAGACCAATATGGTGTAGTCTTCAGTATGGTCACAGCTTTCCTTCGATGTATAGAAGTGGGCTAACTTCGTTTTTGCAACTTGTACATGTTTTCAGGGCGACTTAGTTGAATACATCTTATTCGAAGTCCTCTGCTATAATAGTTATCATAATTCCCGGCTTCGGGCCATAGACTTGGCACATTTGCAGGCATCGTAGTCGACATAATACGACTCTGGAAATTATGATAACTATGATATCAGTGAAAGTTCTACTGATTATGAAAGTAATCAGATTCCTATGCTATTCCCTGCTTGTCTCATCAGCTATCGTCCAGATACTTAATATGCTGGCGAAATAGATCATAGTAAACAAAGCTAGTTACCATTAGTAGAGTCGATGTATATTTATTGGTATACTTGAATCACTAAAAAAAAGATGCATGTATTCTCTAACTAAAATGAGTGGATATACGCTTAGTTCATATATTATTGCTACGCTATTTTCAAAAAGTCATAAGGCAAACTAGATTCTATTTTATTAATGACAAAACTGCGTTGACATCTCCACAACGAATTCTCTCCTACTCTGCTTTGAGTATAAAAGTGAAAAATTTTAATATGCTAATTTATAGTAAAGAACTTGGTTATCTTCTACGAACTCTCCTAATAAAATGGTGGTACAATTTACAGTCCGTTATATAAGCAGATATTTACTTTTTACACATAAGACGGATAAAATTAAGGCTTGCTATTTTTTATGGAATTCTTATAACCTAGGTC